CAACGTTAAATGCAGAAAGGTTTTGCGCGGTTATTAACATTCGCAGACCTTCAGACGCCCGCACTGCTTCTGCTTCTGCTTCTGCTTCTGCATTCTCAGTCTAAACAAACATCAATCAACGGGCTTAGCCAATGAACGTGAAGGGAACCAACATGGCTACGATAATTAAAAGCCCACGTCACGATTCCAGCTAGACTCGTACGGGCCTTAACTCGGCCAAGTATCTTTCGCTACACTAAAGTTATAGTTAGTGGAGCGTGTCAAACTCTCCACCGCGGGGCAGTCTAAGGAAAATTCTCTGGAAAATCCCTCGAAGAGAGCCTCGTCGCGCCATCTATGGGACGCCATATGTACGAGAATAAGTTCAGGGCGTGAAATTAAATAAATTCGAAATCGCTTTTCTAGAGGAAAACCTAACGCGCCAACCAGCAAGTTAGCAATTACGAGCATTTTACATCAGTATATGGCAGATCACTGCTCACAGTATTTAGGATTTGTGGTAAGCAGCTAAACACTGGGGCTACACACCAGTCAATGAGTCATCACTCAGCACAGCGATTAGTGTGACATAGTATTAGTAATTAGTATTGCCATTTGCCTCACTTGAGATATGGGTTGATATCCAATGTATCACACTAGCTAGGTTTTGCCAATGGCAGCGCGAATGTCCGAATACGAACATGTCATGGGAAAGCTAGACATGGTAGGATTTTGGAAGAGGGTGCATCACTGGATGAATGGGCCCAAGGATATAAGAGCTGTCCACATTTGCACATTTGCACATTTGCACGTCGCACATTGGGCTGCGACTAGGGACAGCGCGTCTCCCAAGGTACCGAATTCTCTCCCTAGAGGGCTTATTATTATTATTTTGAATTAGGGATAGGGTTAGGGTTAGGATTCGGGTTAGGGTTAGGGTTAGGGTTAGGGTTAGGGTTAGGGTTAGGGTTAGGATTAGGGTTAGGATTAGGGTTAGGGTTAGGGTTAAGGTTAACTGATTTTATTAATTGTTAATTAATAATGCGCCATCTAGGGGATCACTAGACGATCTGCAGCCCGGATATACGCGCGAAGCGCGAACAGCGCCGCCTCGCGGCGCCTTTTGATCGAATTCGCTGCCCTCTATGTAGAACAATTTCCACGGTTCTGTCATAACGGCGTATAATCGGTCAATTGAGGAGTTGTGGCGCTTGCAGAAGCCTTTCGACTATGCACGTAGGGCGAGAATAAATGCGCGATAACACCGATACATGTTAGCCCGACCAGGCTGTGCGACGGATTGGCTATACATAGCTGTGCGACGGATTGTCTATACGACGGATTGTCGTATTGTAACCCTAGCAATACCGTTTCTTGGAGCTACGATACATGTATGCTATATACACTGTAACTCACAAAATGTTGCAAAATAGTCTGCGTGTGTATAACCAAGCATGCACTCTCAGTGACTCTGTATAATATACGTACATTATCCCAAGGGCTTATCTACATACACCCTTCAGTGGGATCAAATGCAATTGTGCCTCCGCTATGCCCATATCTAGTGGAGCAATACAGCAAGACTTAATTGTCCATCCTTCAATCCTGGGCCGAGACCTGGGGGATGCAATTTAACGCCCAGAAGTGTTACATCCTGCATGCAACACGGACAAAAAAGACGCTATCGTACTTCTATGAAATAGATGGAAAAATGGATTATGGCAGAACCAACAGCGTAACTGCAATGTTACAATCACTTAATTGGTCGAATCTTCAAATACGCCATAAAGAGAAGCGACTCAACCTTCTCAACAAAATTCTCTGTGGAAGTACTGCGATCCCCAAAGTCCAGTACATCAGGATGGGTCCATCGCGCACAAGGAGCAAAAACGACAACAAACTCGCAGTCATTAGAACCTCAACAGAGGAATTCAAGAACTCATTCTTTCCACGGACCATCGTGTACTGGAATGCCTGCACACAGACCATAATCGACGCCATCTGTGTCGCGGTCGCAACCGGGAGCGCCTAATTTTACCATGCCCCACCACCTGCATCATAATACGCGTATACGCGGTCGACGCAGTACACAATCAAGATCAAGATATCTACAGTTTCGATATTGGATATTATATAAGTCGGTTATAGTCATTGGCTTATATGTTTAGATATTTTTTCATATTTCTAGGGCATCCAGATATGGAGTTCTTCCCGCTTGGCAATGCGGAGCTTGGAATACGGACTTTCCTGACGTCTGTCCATGCGAATGATCAATGTGGCAGTGATGGCTTACCGCTCACCCCGAATTCAATCAAAGTTTTCGGCCGTTTTCAACAACTAAAGGACATCACACATCCTAACCTGTGCAGATACGTGGACATTGCACGTGGAAAACATGGTATGATGAATATATTATACTCAGGTTTGTAAAGCTTTTTTAGTTACTAGATTAACTTAATCTCATTTCAGTTTGCCTTTGTTTAACTCAGTTGACATATATTTATGATGTACACGTTCTTCACGCAAATTGTTGAATTTGCGATGCTTAATTAGTTCCTACTAAGCATCACAGTGGATGTGTAATGATGTTAAGGCGAGATTTTTTTATTTTGGTGGTTTACAGATCCGCCGACCCGGATTGTCAAGAAAAACGAAAAAAAAAAACTTTGTATTTGTTCTATAGTCAAGGCATTTATACTATTTTGCACATCAGAAATTGTGCCCGCTTTCTCTGGGCAGATGAGGCAAATATTAATTAATTCAAATGTGGTTTGTTTTATACAACAGAGAGGTTGATAGTTGTACAGGAACACTACAAGACAAGCTTGGCAACAGAAGCAAACAGTGGAATATACTCATGGTAACTAAACCAGAACACCCGACCCGAGTTCTGCAATGTACATTATTATACATATAAATCATAAAAATGTATGTGTTACATTAATTGGGTCTGAATTTGGTACTGAAGTAATTAAATAAGCATGCTAACACAATTAGGCTAGAAATTATCCTGTTGATGTATAAATTATTCTACATGTATCATTTCCAGTATATCCACTGTGATACGGCTTGCATATCAGATACTGCAAGGAATCGACCATTTAAACCGACAAGGGCTTGTACACAGGTTTGTGGATTGGTTTTCATTTCAGCAAAACATAGGAAATTTTAGTAAATAATTTCATCGTGCACAAGATCTTTTTAGAAGAGCTTATATAGAGATCACTGAATGCAGTAATGTTGGGTATTTTATTGTGTATTCCCAGGTGTTTATCTCCCAAAGCTATTCTGATTGACGGCGTAGGGTGTGCAAAGCTTACAAACTTTGGTCTCTACACGATGACAGACTATGGGACAAGTGTCGACTTTCCCATTGGGTGAGCATGTTCGAGTGTTTTTTTTTATGCATATATGTGACATAATCAGTTACTTGTAACTAGCACGTCATTGTCTTTATCGTGAGCACTTTATATGCACCAAAGTGTATGCACTAACTTGGTCACAGTAGCACATACATAACTAGCGGATTACACGTTTGTTAAAACGTCGATCGTTGTTACACATCTGTTGTTTCATGCAATACGATCTATTTTGCACAGGTCTCCAAGCTACCTAGCACCAGAAGTGTTAGCCAGTGGTCGGCTGCCCGCCACTTTACAACTTTTGTCTAGCCCAAAGACAGATGTGTGGTCGCTAGGAGTAATATTACTAGAGCTTCTCCTGGTATGGTTTTCTAGAGAACTATTTCTTAGAACACAGAGCACACATGGATTAATTTAACAACAACAACAGTATTTCATGTCAGAAAATAACTATCTCCCATGATATCTCTCTGTTGATGTCCTCTTTGAGGTTATATAAATCTGTCACCATCCTGCAGACACATTAAAATTGATTTTTAATTAAAATTAATTAAAATTTCACCATTCTAGGGAATTGAGTTGTGGAGTAAGCTCAACATGGCATCCATGCTGAAGCAAGTAATTTGTCTCCTGCAGTCTCACGAGCCAGTACAAGATATTGCCCACAGTCATGGTGTGCTCGAAAAACTAAAGGTGAGGCAGTTTTCTTCAAGTAAATTACATAATACTGTTCTGCGATTATATATAACATAACGTAGCGTAACGCAATGTAATACGTGTAACACAACACAACACAACACAACATAAATGTTGTATCACAGTAATTCATACGTTGCATTAAATGTAGCTGTAAAATTTGTAGAAAGTGAGAGACAAATGCTGTTGTTGTTTTTTCAGAATGTGCCATCATCATTGCTTGATCTTCTTACTAAGTGTTTGACAGTGAAAGCAAACAGTCGGCCATACCCATCTGATTTACTACAACATCCTGTATTTGCAGAAGAGCAGCTGGCAAAGGTAAACTTATTCAACTTAGATGTCAACTTAGAGGAGTTTGTGAAGATCTTGATACAGTAGTCTCTCTCCTATTGTGGGGTGTCCCATTGCAGAATTGGAGTATTACCAGTTTAATATTTGTATACAATTTCTCCAGCCCCAGCATGGTATTCAAGGCCTGCATTGTAACCACGGGTTCCCATTTGAAAATATATATCGTGACTGAAATTTCCTTGTCTGACGTGTGCATCTTTGATTGTTTCCTATTTCCATAATATAGCACGTCCAGCGATGAATACGTATGAATTGCATTAGCAAATTTGCATGTTGTTCCGCGTTGTTGCTTTTATATTTGTTGTTGTTGTTGTTGTTGTTATTATTGTTGTTGTTGTTGCAGGTTCCGAGCATCAATGGCCTGCACTTGTTCACAGGGAAGTTGAGATGCAGAAAGCTGGAGCTGCCACCAGTCAATGACCTGTTAGGTATTGAAACCTATCAAGTTTTATTTTTGTATGCGAACATGCCATGACACTATACGGTATGACTGCGCTGCAGAGTAGGTGCAAAATCGGTGTTTTCGAGAACCGCTGCTAGGTGCCCATCCTGCTGATCGCGGCCACACACACGCACACATGCAAGCATGCTGGCACACACACGCACACATGCATGCATGCACGCACACACCCACACACGTATGTACACACACATGAACACCCACGCACGAATGTACATACATTACATGAACACCCACGAACGCACACAAGCACGCACGCACGCACATGCACGTGTGCATGTATCAGAAGTGCACGACGTTAGATGAACAGTGATGTGTTTGTCATCAGCAGAGGGCGAGGAAGCAGAAGACATGCCGACAGACTACCTGGCCGAACGGGGCATGGACGAGGTGTACTACCTGTGGAGCCTTGCCGGCGGAGACCTGGAGAACGAGTTAAGCAAGCGTGGCATGATCAAAAAGAAGCCGCCCATTTTCATGCAGCCAAAGTAGGTAGCGCGCATTCGCTACGTTGATACAGATTTCGGAGTTTTGAAGCAGCTTTGTAAATGTGGGAAAATGTTGAGTACGCATTGATAGCTGAGAGTGATCATTCCATGTCAAACTCAAGATGTGTCTTTTATTGATTAGAAGTCATAGCAAACCCTCATGTTCCTAGGCTAAAGACATTTTGTGGTATATTTGCGCCACGTGAACTACGTTAACAGTGGCAACATTGTCATTATCACAGCTGCAACCACAAAATCAGCAGCAGTTGCAAAGATGATTAGTGATAGCACATTGTGGAAGTGATAGGGGGTAATAGCGATCAGAGTAGTAGCAGCAGTAGTAGATGTAGTAGTCCGCAAAATAGCAGTTGTTTAGCTATTACATTAAGATTAGAGTTAACAGCTGTCACTTCTCATCTCTTGTTAACAAGCAAACGTTTTTTTTAGGAAAGTTTAAGGTACATGCGAGTGATTCTGGTCTTTCTTGGTTGTTGCAGTGTGGTACTACAGAATGGGGAGCCATTCGGTCAGGAGGCCCATCGTTCCAATACCCTAGATGAAACTGTTGTCTGCTTGTCACTGGATACTCTGAAGGATCGACTAAAGGAAGTGCACCCATCGATTTACTTTCCACTCCTCGAAGAACTGTATGTGATATTTAATTCGATAATTCTATCTTCACGTTTAGAGTCATAGTTCAGCGCGATATGTATAAGTAATGGTAAAAATGGTTAGTACTTGTTATACATAACCAACCTACGTACACCTACATATTTCTGCTACATTTACACCAGTGTTTGCGTTGTTGTGTTCGCAGAAAACCAGTTCTTCCTATGTCGCCAAGCATGAGTGATCTATCTGCAACAGCCACCTTGCCGCTGATCATTCGAGAGAAAGACATCGAATATCAGGTGCATAGTGCTTACATACATCATCCTAAATGCATTCTCTTGTGGAAATCACGAGTGGCATATTACTTGAAAGATCACTACTTACTATAGTTGCAGGGGTGCATAAAAACAGACAAAACAAAATATTTGTTTTTATTCACTCCTGATATTTACTATTACTATGATAGGAAACAGTGTACGTTGGCTCGGTTGGTTACCGCACGGGAATGAAACTTGTAGCGTTTGTTTACCACTTCGATTCTACCAGTGTGCCTTTGAGCAAAGGTAGGTTATCCCATGGGCAGTAATTCAAAGATGGTGTGTCTTTACACAGTTGCACAGGGTGGTCCTGTTTAAGCGTCTGCTAGAGGGATACCCGTACAAGCGCTCGCAGATCTGGAGAGAAGCTAGGGTCGACATTCCACCGCTCGTGAGGCCGTACGTCTGGGCAACCCTGCTTGATATTGAGGTGCGTGCATACTAAGAACTTTATATGCGTACGTGTATACTAAGAAGTTAACTCAACGATGTTTCTGTGAACTAAGAAGAAGGCAGCAATCTTGTAGTCGAAATCTTATTAGCCTCATCATCAGGCGTGACTTCGTGCCAAAGTTTCAGCGTTGCCGCCCGAATTTAGAGAATAGTTACTGTCATTCGTATTGAAAATCGGCGTGAAAATATTCTGGGTGGCTTGTAATGACGTATAATCTGGCACTGCTGATACACCATTTATGTTTGTATAGATAGAGATAATACCCTGCGAAAGTCCTCTCTTTCCCTCTGCCTCCCTCTCTCTCTCTCTCTCTCTCCCCCTCTGAAAGTTCTTCCTCTGCGAAGGTCCAGACTCCGGGAATTATTGAGTAACAGAAAGTTGCACAATATCGCCCCTTCCGAACCCCCTGAGTAACACCTCATAACCGTTCATCTCGGAGTAACGCCTTGGCTATTATACACGGGTATCGCGCTACTACCGTACACTGCTGTTGCGCGTGCGCAGGGTGATGTGCGCGCGTGCTACGACGCCATCGACAAGCGAACGGCAACGGCGACCGACCGGCAGATCGAGGTCGACATTCCGCGCTGCCACCAGTACAACGAGCTGCTGTCGTCGCCGGAGAGCCACGGCAAGTTCAAGCGCGTGCTGAAGGCGTGGGTGATCAGCCACCCGCAGTACGTCTACTGGCAGGGCCTCGACTCCCTCTGCGCCTCCTTCATCTACTTAAACTTCAACGACGAAGGTGTGTATAGACAGCAGACGATTGTGGCAGCTTTTTATTAAAAATTATAATGTATATGATCAAATTATGTTATAAAATTATAATTTATATATAATTTATATTTTTTTAATGTTTTTTATAACAATACAAATGCAAATATCTATATGTTTGATTTTTAAGTGGCGAATGTAGCCCATGGCGGATGTAATTTTTCTTATTATAGTAATGTTATTCATTTCAGCTCTGGCATATGCGTGCATGACAAATTTCATCAATAAATACTTGCACAAGTTTTTCATGAAGGATAATGCAGCTGTGATTCAAGGTAAGGCAGGTTATTTCTTGCATTGTTGTTTATAGCTATGTTGAGATTAAAACTAGATAAAGAGTTTCGTGAAAATTTCGTGTTATCTCATTGTATGTGTGGCAATAAGATTATAAGTTATACAATTAGTAAAACAAAACAAAAAATGTATTCTGACATTTCTAATGGTAAAATTTTTTCCATTTACCATTTTCCGTTAAACAACATTTGTGTCTTGATAAATTTTTTTTAGAATACCTGGCAGTGTTTTCACACATGATAGCATTCCACGATCCAGATGTGTCCAACCATCTGGACACTATAGGTTTCATCCCAGAACTCTACGCTATTCCCTGGTTTCTTACCATGTACGCACGTAAGTATTGCCCACGACAAGAATTATGTTTTATAGAGTAGTACATGAGTTAGGGTATATTCTATATTCTATATTCAGTCAGCATTCTATATTCTATACATGAGTTCTTCATATATATCCTAGATAAATATATTTCACATAAAGGTTTTTAAATTTTAAATAAAAAAACATCTGAAATTTTATTGTTATTTTATCTAAGCATGCTAAGCATTCTGTTACATTTCAGATGTGTTCCCCCTGCACAAGATATTTCATTTATGGGACACACTGTTGCTAGGCGACTCATCGCTACCATTGTTTATCGGGGTAGCCATCTTGAAACAGTTGCGCACCAACTTGCTTTCTTTTGGGTTCAATGAATGCATATTGGTTTTCTCTGACTTGCCAGGTAAGATTTATTAAAGTAACTTTTTATTAATTGTAATTAAGTTAACATTTTAATGCAAAACTATTTTTATGCCATTAAGAGCTAAGCTATTATTAGCAATTGATGCCATCTATAAGTGAGATATATCTGCATATCTTTCCCTGACATATCTTCTTCAGACTACTACATTGTATATGGTCGTTTTTCGTCGTTAAGTCATTAAGTTTAAATTATTAATGAATATTATGAGTAATTATACTTCCGCCCAACGGAGTTGGAGGGAGGTTATGTTTTCGCTCTCGTGTGTTCGCGTTAGACTGGTACTCGCTCTCACCTCGATTCCCCCATCGAGTAACTAAGCCGAGAGGTGGGACCGGGTACCAGTCTAGTGTTCGTGTGTTTGTGTGTTCACGCGATCGATATTAGCGCGTCGACCCAGCGAGCCAGCGAGTCAGCAAGCCAGCGCGTGCTTGCTTGAGCAGGAGCGTGTACATGTCAGTACATGTGTGTATCGTGGGTTATTCGTGTGTTCGTGAGTCATATGGCGCATGGCGTATGTCGCTGGCGGAGGTATGCACTCCGTGAGTGCACTCTGTCTAGTTGTTCATGTTGTATGTTGCCCCCTTTTCAGAAATAGACATGGAGAAATGCGTTCAAGCCTCTATACATTTTTTCCGGAGCACACCAAAGAGCGCCACCTTTAGGCAACATGCAAGGCCAAAGACGAAGGGTGAAAAATCAGGAGAAGGCAGAGCTTTATACGTGAGTGCTTGCGTCACTCACTTTCATTGGGCCAAAACAAAATATAGGTGTGGTTACGGTTTCCCGACCGACCCTATTTATTCCCAGCGACCCTAAACATTTTATTGTCAATTTTCTTTAAAGTCAAAAAAAATTAAAATAAAATAAAAAAATAAAAAATATATGAATTGGACAGTTCCTGCTTCAAAAGGCACAACGCACATCCTTCGGACATGGTTCGTAAATAAAATATTTCAAGAAAATAAAATGTTTTCCCTACCTACCTACCCTATTTTTTTCCGGCATGTAACGGTAACCACACATATATTTTGTTTTGGCCTTATCGCTGACAGTTTACTTTGACCTAGTGCATATCCTTCACGCATAAGTAAAGTTAGAATAAGGGCACAGTACCTGTGTTTGTATTTGAATCATATGCGATAAATTTGCGTACGTCGGTCATTGCCGATTACCACTCGCTGTTCTCTCTCTCTCCTCTCTCTCTCCCTCTCTCCCTCTCTTCTTCTTCTCATCTACTCCTCTCTCCTCTCTCTCTCTCCTCTGCTCTCTAATATTAATCTATCTATCCTCATCTCATTCCTCTCTCTCTCCTCTATTCTTCTATCTATATATGCTTCTTCTCTCTCTACTCTCCTCCCCTCTCTCTCTATCTCTCTCTGGTCTTCTCCCCTCTCTGCTCTTCTTCTATCATCTCTCTCTCTCTTCTCTCCTACTCTTCCCCGCTGTCTCTCTCGTCGTCTCTTCTTGCTGTCCCCTCTGCTCGTCTCTCATCATTTCTCAGGATTCATTGTGCTGTCACGCCTCCTCTCTGTATCTTCTTCTCTGGTCCTCGTCTGTCTCTGTCTCTCTCTCACTCTCTCTCTCTCTCTTTAACTGTTTCTCTCTCTTTCTCTCACTGCCTCTCTCTTTCCTCTTTGCGGTCCCTCTCCTCTTCTCTCTCTTGCTGTTTCCTACTCTTTTCTCTTCTCCTCTGTTTCTGTCTCTCTTCTCCCCTTTATGCCGTCCTCTTCTCTCTCTCTAATTTCACCATTTCCCATCTCTCCTCTCCCTTTCTCACTGCCGGCCTCTCCTCTCTCCTTATTCATACACCGTCTCCTCCTCTCTCTCACGTCGAGACGAAGGATGCGCTGCCGCTCGCAGACTCTGAAGGAGAGAGGTGCGCGCCAGTGTCGGCGCGGGATCTCTTCGAGCCCTGGTGCGGCTCGCGTCCTCCTCGTCCGCCGCCGGCCGACCCGCCACCCGCGCGCAGCACCATACAGCATCCAGCGCGGCCAGGTGCGCTCCCAAGGTGCTTGTCATCGACGTGAGACTCAGCGAGGAGTATCCTTATATAGAAGACATGGCTGTGTTGGGTGTGTGTGTGTGCGTGTGTGTGTGTGTGCGTGGTGCGCGTTGTGTGTGCTGGTGCGTGCGTGCGTGCGTTGCGTTGAAGTGTGTGTGTGCACGTGTGGCGTCGCGTGTGTGATGCGCGGCTGATGTGTGTGTGTGTGTGTCTGTTTGTCTGTGTATCTGTTTGTTTGTCTGTCTATTTGTCTGTCTGTCTGTCTGTCTGTCTGTTTATCTATCTGTCTATCTAATTATCTAACTGTCTATCCATCTATCCATCAATCTTTCTTTCTATTTATTTATCTATCTATCCATTCATTTATCCAAACATCCATCCATCCATTCATCCATGTCTGTCTGTCTCTGTCTGTCTGTTCATCTATGATAAACAGAATATTATACAGGTCTATTACGGGTTGAAACGACGGTCGTAAGTGAACTGGAGGCGTTTGTTTTTGGTTGCGAACGCCGCACACCACGCTATAGCATATGGGAGTCGTCTCGAACAGATGGAACCTTGACCGTCGCGTGACAGCTACTTACGCGGGACGGTTCCCGGAGCGGTGAACATCCCCTTTGCCTCGGCCTTCTCACCAGATGGCGGCCTCGTGTCGTCGTCTGCCGTGTCTCAGCTGTACGCGCATCGCGGGAGACTCGTCGTCGTCGTCGGCAACAGAGGCAACCACGCTGCACAGGTAAAGAGTTGCGCGCGCAGAAATGTAATCGTTTCAAAACGAGCAGAGCTTTATTCAGTTCAGGGTGAGTATGTTTGTGTTAGATGTGAAGCAAACACATTCTTTGTCGACCAATTGAGTATGCACAATGTGGTCATAGCTTTGTTTTCAAGGGCAAATAGCTACTAATTACTACAAGTTATTGGGAAAACTATCCATTATCTACCCATAAATAGATAGTACAGGGGTGCATATGTATGTGTGTGTGTGTATTATATATATATATATATATGAATATATATATATGTGCAACATGGATGTTTTACGAGTAAGTTACTGTATTGTAATCTCACTACGTTCATAGTTTGCAGGTGAGCTTGTCGCCATTGGATTCTCCAAGGTCTGTGTGCTGCACAACGGACTGGATGCCCTCAAGTCAACGGGGTTGATGTCTGTCCCACGACCTGAGATCTAGTGTCAGTCGCGGGGGCGGACACTGCTGCTATCTTCAAAACCATGACAGCCTCAATGAGGAATGTATAATATAGAGACTCTATATATTATGGCTCTCTTTATTATTCACTCCAGATATCATGCGTAGCCGTGGAAAAAATCCATTTGGCAATGTGTGCTCGTCGTTAAAAAACACTTGTCTGTGTGGTTACACCTGCATTTGGGAGTTAAAATGGTTGCATTCCTATTGTGATTGATTGATTGATTGATTGATTGATTGATTGATTGAATTGTGATTGATTGTCAAGCTTGCCGAGTGCTGTCGTGCTTTGCAGAGGTAATACCTGCCATGTTTTCTTGTCTGTATATACGGTGAGGCTACTTTTTGCGTTCGTTATCTCTATGAGCATGATGTATAGTTATTATCAGGTGGATATAGCTCTGAGTGTACAGTAATATGAATTAACTGTAATGAATTGCCTATATTTTGTTCTGAGCGGGGGCGTCGTGTTATGAAGCGTCACGGACCTTCTGTATATAGTACGTGTTTTGTGCATTTTAGATAGTACCACCAGAGCATATATAAATCACGTTGATTGATATGCTCTGGTACCAGGGTACATTCCGGTATACCGGACCGTACCCAGGGTACGTTCCGGCAGTACCCTGGGGGACATAGACCCTCTCAGCGCAAGCATCGTGTAATACCAACCATGTCCGGAGGCACAGCCTAAGTAAACGGTGTGCTTATATGTTACTACTTGTAAGTTGAAAACGAAAAAGTTGAAGGGAATCTTTCGATACTCATGGATTATGCCGTTATCAGATATAATTTTATATTATGGTTTTGTTGGAACAAATTGCCATCTTGATACGAGATCCTACTGCGTGCCCAAGCAGTACCAGTTGTATTGCCTAAAGGTTATCGATAAGCATGTGCTCTATGCCAGTGTTCTTGGAATTGACAAGGAGAGTTAGATATGTCACGCTCTCTGTTTTTTTACTGTAGCATTTGGTAGATACATAGAACATATCTAAAGGAGTGTCTGAAAATTAATAATAAATTCTTTCTTTATAAATAAAATAATAATATACACTGTCGAGAGCCACTAAGTCAAAGAGCAACATGAATATTTCTCTGGCAACATCAGAAATAATTAGTATATTTATAATAATCATAGAAATCATGAGTGCATTTATAGTTTTTATTGCCATTGCTTTTGATTTCGAGATATTGCTTCAACTAAACAGTGTTGTATGATAGTAAATATAATCAGGAGTAGATAATAGGGAATAATTCCCTATTATCTACTCCTGATATGATGTAATGTTGAATTCAATTTAAAATTTGATAGAATAAATTTATGTGCTGTACATATAATATTTTTATTAATCTCGTATATATATGCGTATGTGGCTAGTATTGATTGAATGAGTAGTATATGCTGCAATCAAGTCTTGCTGCAATGCAAGCTAAGGTGAACGAACTAGTTTTGTGGCCGATAGATGGCGGCGTTATAGCAAATAGTTTGAGGTCTGTTCAAGATTGCAGTTCAGACCAAACTTGGAGTTATTCTGAATATTCATACTTTTCTTACATTCTACTATTCTTACATTGAAAATTACAAATTAAACAAGTAAGCAACTGTAAGAACTAAGCTACTGTATACTCTACAACCGGCAGTGCTGGGTGTCCGGGAAGAGCACTTGCGGATGGCTTGCTGGTTGGTAGCAGCGGGTTATACTTATAGTTATAACTTATAGATCGTACACTACTCACTACACTAGTTACCCCGACCACTAGTTAGCCCTACCACTACCCTACCACTAGTTAGCCCGACCAGGCTGTTCGACGGATTGGCTATACATCCGTATTCTA